GACAGATGGACAGATGCACGAATGAAGAATTTTTGGTCTAAATCATTAGACATCCAAACGAAAAATGCCGGTATCGAATACTCTAAACACTATTACTCGACCGGAAGACACGTGATCATAAAATATTGCAAGAATGTGAAGCATAAAAATAAAACATAGACAAGCAAAGGAAAAGGTAGCTTCGAATTTTTCGAATAATCTCTGTGCATCTTCGAGACCAACAAAGCAATATTAATAACAACCATCATGACTTCAACAAACTCACATAACTCATATATAATCGAGGAGCTACCCTGCGTCAATAAATAAACAAAAGGAGAACCCACCCACATGCAATAACAAACCAATTACCAATGTTCCGATTAAAAATCCGAGTTATTCAAAGTCAGACTCGACAAACGTATAATCAAATTAAAAATCTTCGAGTGAGCTCATTACAGAGTAAAATCTTTATTTCATCGTCAGACACAGCCATCAATGCTTCATTCGAGATTCTACATATTAAAAACCTAGCTGCAACCAACATTCCACCAGTCGTCATTCCTTCTCCCCCTCGCGACCTATTGCACCTGCAACCACACACGTGCATGCAATCCGCACAACGCATTCCCATTTACGAAGGAAACAGAGGCGAGGAAAAACCGGTAGCAAAGACAGGGAAAACAGCTGCAGAGACTGGAAGCCTCAGAGGAAGTCGGCCCAAATAGACGGGGCCGAAAAAACGGCCGGGGTATGAGGTTGAAATTGGAGGGGCAGGTAAGAAGGCGGAGTGCTCGTCGAAACGAGCCCGTTGTTTTGCCGACTAACCCCTCGGATTATACCGGATGTGTATCTCCCACGCGCACGTACCTACATGCATCCACGAGCCGAGCACGTAGCTCGGCAAAGCCCCGTCTATGTCGTATACACTCCGTGTATATGGGCAGTTATTACAGCGCCGCCTGTGGCGGGTTTCGGAACTCGCGCGGTTCCACCGGCGAACGAACCTACCGAAGCAATTATCGTAATGAGGTGTTCGAACTTGGATGAATGGAGAACGGGACACGGGGTTGGCTGAGTCGGTTTTGTTTTCGGGCTGTCTCGGTGTCTCGGTGGAGAAAGGGAAAGTTGAACTGATTAATGGCGGACGGAGTGTATTGGTTGTCGATAGGTACTAAGGGTCTATTCGCAACATTTTGTAGGAAGAGTAAAATAGTTGCACTATAGGATATTAATATCGCAATTTTTGGTATATTTTAGTTAGTATTGATGCTATTGAAAGGTTATTAATATTTTTTAAACATTCTCTCGCGTTTAGTTGATTGATTTTACTCAATATAGGGCTTTGAATGATGGAGACTCTTTCAGCGACGAGCTTCGTACACTCGCCGCTAGAGGGATACTCGTTAGAAACGTATACAATTTTTCATGTGGTTTATATTGTCCCAGCTTTTAAAGCTTGGGTGATAGCTGTTACTTTTCTTTCGTTGTCTCTTGTCTGGTTTTCATTTTATTCTGTAATTGTTAGTATAACGGAAAATGATTGGAACGAAGACTTCTCAAATTTGTCGTTAAACGAAAATTGATGTGTAATCGGTTTATTGGTTGGAAACACGAAACGAGATTATCCTGGCACATTACGCAAATTTCTGAGGACATCCAGTGGGGAGGGAAAACTGTCCTCAGAGGGAGAATAGCAATGCCGCCTAACGTTACTCTTCAAGCAAGCTCAAACAATCAAATATTGGCTTGCTGGTCGTACCACGATTGCCGCTGGAACACCGCTGATACAGTTCAAATAGTCTAAGTTACAAGGGACAGTTAATCGATCCCCCCTAATGTTACTTGCGCCTTGCGGTTCCGTGGTTCGTCGCAAAGCTGCCAAGAAACTCATTAATGCTTTAATTAAATTACCACGTTGTCCCGTGTCGAAATAAATTTAACCAAAATTCAACTCGAAGGAACACGAAGTTAATAAATCGTCGTTTAATCACGCCTTCGCAAAAAAGGACTCTGTACTCGACTTATCGGGATTCCACAGCAACGTGGTGTCACAGCAAACTCACCAGCTGAGAAATCAACTTCTGAAGCTGAACAAGGATCTTTTTACGAAATATAAATATAGCTAACAGTGATCAATTCGTAACAATCGTTTTTGGTGAGCATTGTCATACGATTCTGACAAAAATGATAGCACTCTGTCGATCTATATATCAACGTTTGCTTCATCCTAACCTTTCTTTGAGAGGAAGATACCAGACTATGTTCACATCTTTTTACAAACGCAAACTAGTCGACTAGTTGACAAAAGTGAATGTGTTTGAAGTACTGTTCTTGGTTTATTTCTTCCTGAGTTTTTATAAATTCAGTATTGTTGTGATTGGTTAACGTGACGTGTAAGTGGTGAGTGCATTTCTTTTTATTGGTTGAAGAGTGTGTATGGAGTTTGGTGTCTTTCAATGGAGGTGGAAGTTTAAACAAATTCAGTCAATTTGTTTTCTGTTCCTGAGGAATTTTAATATTTTTATTAGGGGTTAGTTCGTGTGGTACTGGAGAAGACTTAGGTGTCCGTGAGTCATGAGTCCCCTAAATACGTGTGATATAGTCAGTTTTACGCGATACTACTGTTGTAAAAGTAAACTCTAATCCTTTCTCCTATTATAAATATTATAAGTATATTATATTTTATAATAGATGACAGTTTCAAAACTGTATTTAGAAAAATGTCCTGTTCACGTGTGTGGCTCGTGATATTCATGTTTGGGCTAACATCTTCATCACGAGTCAGACTCGTCGAAATACGTTAAGGGGTTAATCCTAGCTAAACAGGATTCTCTTTTAAAATCACCAATGTCGTTGGACATGAAATTCGAAGAGGATTAACTCGATTGCTATTTTGGGAGGCCTAGGTGTACACGAGTCATGGAATGCTGATAGTAAAGGAATAAACCCTTGTTCCCTTCACTTTTAACACTAGAACTACCAACCCAGTTAAAATGACTGGTCCCAGAATTTTGCTTTTTGCAATCACCGAACACATGCATCTGTTTTAAGAATAAAATTGGCATCAACGCATATTAAGAAAGAACTGTAATCAATATATTCACTCATATTCAACGTACCGCTGAAATTGCTATAATCTGTGCACGTTATAGTTAGGTACCCATTAATGATCGGTAGTTCTAGTGTTAATCTTCGGGAATGAAGGGAATAAACAGCGTATTCAAAGATGAAAACCAGAATTCCTCGTTATCTTCGTGCATCGTATTTCCTCGAGAAGCATCGTCCTATCCAATGCACCAGAGATGCATAATGTATTACACGACGAACTATCATACTGCCAGCGCTACAAAGGCTAATGCCGATAAATGGCTCGTTTCCTCCCGCGTCATTTATCAGGATCACGAGAGGCCAACAGCCACAAGCCAACCGGTATTCGTCAACCGACGAACGATAGGATGCTGCGAGACGACTTTCGCGACGGTAATTTTTCAATTACTCTCTCCCAGATATCGTCGGCCCACGGATTCTCTCCTCTCGTGTAAGAGAGGAGAGGCGCCGCGCGTCCCGTATCGATTTCAGATTCCAATTTAACGGCGTCGCGGTATCCGAGCCACGATCTTCCAATACCAATTTCGCGTTATCGGCCTCCGCTCGACGACGACGGCTTCCGTCTTGCGACCACCAGTCGCGGCCCGCGCGATCCTCGAACCCTTAAGGCGACTCCGCTCGCGGCTCAGACGATCTTCGAACGCGAGTCTGCGAGTGGGCCAGGGAATTCGACCGGAGATCGTGCTTCGAGAGATTTTTCCAACCACGTGTGCCATTGCGTCCGAGCTTTGGGTATCTCGAACGTGACTGCGTCATCGAGTCTTCGTTTATGGTGTCTACGAATTCGTAAAATCGAGAGTATAACGCTTTACAAGTTTATAAGTGATTCGAAGATTGCGACCATGTCGTTAACGCATACTTGCAATTTTTACGTTCCGAAATATGTCCACACTGATTTTAACACCAATTTATAGAGCAGCAGTTTGGTGTCTAGAGATAGCTTAAATTTTATAATCCCAACTATAGCTAAGTCGAAATACACAAGAATAAAGGATTCCCTGTATATGTAGGAATTTTCTTTATTGGCTGGTTTTTTCCGACTGATTCTGACTCAATAGCTGTATCTCTTCACACACTGACCTGACGACTACTCTGACCAACAATTTAAGAACCTAACTCTCAATCCTTAACTAAACTCTGTCTTCCAGAATGGACCCTTTTAAAGTCCGTATAGAGAGCAAGCGCCTCCCCAAAGGAGGAGAAACTCCCTCCACGTCAAAGTCAAGGGTGGAGGAGACCTCTGCCTCCGAGTTAGCCTCTACGAAGGCCCCTCGCGGGGACCCTTCCCGAGAAGTGACCGCGGTTGCGTCATCCCGCGTCGCGTGAGACCACCTCACGTGACCTGCCCCCCCCCCCCTCCTACGGCCTATCTGGCAGCCAGATTCTAACGAATCCTCTAGATCTGGGTTCCAGATGGAGACACTATATCCTAAGGAATGAGTGTGTCTCTTTTACCATTCCTACATATAACACCTTTTTATGTTCCTAGCTATGTAGCTAATTCAAGATGTACTTTGCCCACTACACAGAATTTCAAAATTCTAAGACATATTGATTTCTTGCACACGATCTTTTTAAAAATCTCATAATTCTCAACGTCCTCCACTCTTCACGCACAAGTCCAGAATTCAGACCTCTATTAGCAGTTTCCGCATCATGGGTCCACCCTCGAAAATTCACAATTCTAAACGCCACTACATTCCCCACGCATATCTCTAAAACTCCGAACACGGGTGTACACGAAATTTGCATTAATCTTAAACGCGGCTCCGCTGCAGATACCAAAGCTTGCAGCGACGATCGTACGTTTCCCGACATAAATTCCGCTGTATCGCGCCATTCGTTCTCACAGTCGGCAAGTGATAAACGCGCGACGCGCTTCTTTCTGTGTTGCAGTTCCGCCGCACAAAATCGTGATCGTCGATGACTCCGGGATCGCACGGAACTCGATGGTGGGCCCCTACATAGAGGGCGACACCCTGCGGCTCTACTGCGACGTGTACGGCGGTAAGTACAACGTAACGTCACGTCGCACCCGTGTCCCACTGTGGTCTGCTCCAGAGGACCGCCGGAACGTCCGGGACAATTCCAAAAACGAGAACGGGCTTTCGTGGATCGTTGAAGCCTCGTTTGCAACGGAATTTACGTGACGCCGCTGCTGCACGCGGCGGCAACCCACGTTCAGAAATTCGTTCTAATCGCCACGTTGCTTCGTCCTTTGCCGAGGAACGCTTCGGTGCTAGTAGCGCTAAAATAAATTCCAGATAAGAGATGTACACGTACCATGCTGAGAAAGGAAGTCTATTTGCACCGGTGACTATGAATGGGATCTAAGTTGTATATGTTTTCCTTGAAATATTCAAAGTTTCGCGTTTTATATATATCATAGCATAGGAGAATTAACCCTTTGCACTCGACGAGCTTTTGGCTAAAGAGGAGTAGGACCTCGAAGATTTTCTGCTATAAAATTGACGATATTTTTTTGAGCAATAAGAAAGGAATAGTATAATAATTGACACTTAGAATTATTTGATTTCGACACCGTTACATTATCTTAAATTTGACATATTAATTAATACCGATCTTCGAAATTTTAGCAAATGGCGACTGAAAGATGCCTCTCGAGTGCAAAGTGTTAAGTACGACAAAGTTTCAAGAATTTTGTTGTTGTTGCAAAAATAATTTTATGGTACTTCTTTGTGAGTTTATTTTGGAGAGCACTAATCTGCGATTAGTGCAAACAATCACTAACAACTTTTCTCAGACACGACTCTAACGTCATAGAAACATCATCAGAAATACCCTTCAGTATCTAAAAGAGATTTAATTGTATCACAAAATCTAAAAATTGTCGTTTATCACCATGCTGTTGATTTTATGTTATAATAATGTAAATTGAAGTAATATAAAATGGGAATTAAAATTTTCTCACCATTTTCGAGAAAATAATGTTATATCATTATAACGTACATTAATGCAAAATGCAATATTCGATTTAGATTACGTTCATAATTACCGACACGTTTGTTTCTCATCGATGGTATCAATAATCGAAGAGTGGAAATAAAAAGGTTAAAAATTGCAATTTCAAAAGATATATTGTACGAGAAGATATTGTACGGATATCGTAAAATCATACAGAGTAATATGATATATATATATAATAAATAGAAATAATGTTTCGTTCATTAACTTTTTTGACAAGTAAATTATTATTTTCTTCAAAAATTTAATTCTGCCACTTTCGACCCTTTCTATTTCCACTCTGCAATTGCAGAGGAAATTAAAAAATTGTGGATTTGTTTCTTCTAATTACACAGTCGATGTAAACTTTTAGTGTAACGTTTTGAGGAAATCACTTGGGAGAACGTTTGTTAGAAAAAATGGCAATTTCGGTGCAACAAAAATTGCATCTGGCAATGCTACATTGAGAACAGTGCAACGCGAGTTTTGCAATATAAGAGTTTTCAACGGCGAACAAAATGGCGGTCATTTCGTGCGTTGTCATCACCGTACTCGCTTTATTTAGTTCCTCGATATTACCTTTTATTTTTGAAAACGAAATTGAAGCTGAAAACGTAATGTTTCGACAAATTTTAAACCATCTAAATGTACGTTTAAAAAATATACCTTTACATATTTCATCCCTCGTCTCTTCAAAAATTTTCCTGGATCCTCTCTCATTCGGAATTGCGAAAAAATTCGCAATCAAAGTGTCATTTCGGTGTACCTATATCAAATGAGAATCGTTTCCCCCCTTTTTCTTTTTTTCCACAAAAGGTGGTTAAAAATCTGCAAAATTATTTTGAAAATTGGGTAAAAAATGGCGGTGATGTGGTTCCACAGGTAAGCCAGCGCCAACGGTGTCCTGGCATCGCAACGACAGGCTGATCAGCAACAAAACCCTGACGGTGAGGAGCGGCGTGACGCGCAGCGAGCTCGTTATAAAGAATTTAGGACGGGATGATGTACGCTCGATGCTGACCTGCAACGCAACGAACAACAATAGGTCGATCCCGCTCTCCTCCTCCGTCCACGTCGACATGAATTGTAAGTATCGTTTTATAACTACAACAATAGAGAAAAGTCGCAACAATCGATGGTTGGTTTTGTCCGAGAGCTTCTCATTTATCCCGCCATAACCTATCTTCCTAAAGAGTTCGAACCCTCCTCGTGCATGTCTTTCACAACGCACGATAGTCCCGTTTAATATGTACAAATTATAATCAGGATCCTTTGTCTTCGTGCTATTTTAAAATCATAAACGATCTCGTGTCTTTGTTCGCGAGATTAATTCAGATATCCAGCTCAAAGACTGTTCGTGCATTTTTATGTGCGATGCTAGAGCCTTGATAACCTTCGTTTATTTTTACCACTTACCACGCTGAATATGAAACACGAAATTCGCGGAACAAGATGTCCTCAACATCGTTGTTCGGCAAAAAGTAAGCGAATTTCCTGCGCTGAGACTCCATCGATACCAGCGCCACTGCGCGCTAGCCTTGTGCTATTGACAAGCCGTCTGCACGAGATGTTTATCGGGCTAATAGAAAAGCGAATGGCCATTTTTCTAGAGCCGTTTCGCGTGCCGCGATGCGGAATGGGAACAAAATGCCTTGTCGATGCACAGAAACGTAGTTTCCAGCGCGCGAGCAACCAGAGGCTCTGATCATCTTCGATCCGACCTGAGGTCCAAACGACCTCGAGCATCCGAGTGATTTTTCCAGGGTATCCGATAAATATGATAGAGGAAAGACCCCGAAGAAGGCACTTTTGGGGTTTCTTATTAGACACGACCCTGGGACCATAACTCCGCAGCTCCCGGGGACCTAGACCGGATCGTGCCACGCGTTTCACCGGGAACAAAAGGATATAGAACAAAGAGATATGGAACTGTACGGCTGACATGTCCGCTCCGTCATTCGAGCCACGTGGTCGCGACCACTCCACGGCCAGGGATGGTCTTTTGAATCTAAATTATCGAGGGTTAAGCCCATAAAACCGCGGTCTAACGAGAAGTAATAAGTATACGCGTCAGGCTAGAATCAAGATGGACGATAAGACGTTCCGAAAGAAGGCACGCAGCGGAGGGTAGGGCATCCACCCACCCCCTAGGGTATCCCTTTATATTCTTTACAAGACCAAACCCATTTTCCAGCCACGGTGCGTAAAGGAAATAGGGATAGGTGGCCACCGGCGTGCGGCCATTACGGGCTGAATTACGTCCATGGGGTCGCTGATACCCGCCGTTCTTTACCCGTGGAAAGGATTTCGATTATCTATACAATGATTTCGAATATTCTCCGATAACGACCACGGATCAGGAAGTGGCCATTCCCATCGAACGACCCATGGTCCGCCTGACTTCTTACTGCTACTCTCGTGGAAACAAAGCGAGAACTGATATACCGTTTATACCTTCGTATCGCAGCCGTGGATACTCGAAGAATGGCCTGGATAAGGCCGATGATCGATTATCACGCGCAAAGGTACTTTGGATCTTATCTATATAGTACTATCCGCGTATATGGCCACGAATTTTCCATGTATACGGCAATAGATTATTCCCGCCATTTCGAAGCAAGACTCGATGTTACCTGAAACTCGCATAGACCGTAATTCAACCAGTGTTGAATTACCAGAACAGAAGAAGTTAAATCTGTTTTAGTTTTTATTTTAGAATTGAAAGAATACCATAGTCGGATTACTGAGACTCTTGCGAAGGAAGTAGTATCAAATGTTTTAAATAGAACATTTCGTTGAGACGAAACGGGACTACTAGCTCCATTTGTGAACGGATGGATGTTGCAGCGAGAGCTCTAGGGACGTGCGTGTGAACCCCGTGGGTCTCGTAGACCCCGAGCGTCGTAGTGAGGTTATCAACTATTATAATCCGGTCTTGTTATGCTCATCAAATCGAAGACCCTGTTAAGTCATTTATACAGAATCTAGTGTTCAATTTGTCGCTCTTGAAAACCGCCTTTCGTTATTTCGACCAACCTAACCTCAACTCAATTTAAATTGAAAGTCAACGACTTAATGGTGCCATTTTGCTACCTAACAGAGCAATCACGACGCGAATGTAGTCTATTCTACCAAAATTACCAACGAATAAGAAATTTTAACGGTTGACCAAAAATCGCTATCAAATACCACGAGTGTCAGACGTTAACTGACTATAGCTACCATTAGTAACACCACAAGTGCTACCGTCCATCTTGAACGACCCATTCTTCTCAGAGCAAGCAGTTTCTCTCAAAATGAACACTTCAGCTCGTAAATTTCAAGGACGACGACTTTAAACCGAATCCAAGCTCCTAATTAGCAGCTAAGTACACCCAAACTGGGTTACGTGAAGTCTTACTTCGTGCCTTTCGGACAGATATACGGTTTCCGAGGGATATACAGACAACGCAGTCCTCTTCCGCCTAAATTCCATTTAAAATTCCCGCTAGTCGAGTTCGTTGCATTTCGAAGTATCCCTGAAGGATCAATCGGGTGCAGATTCTGCATTGGTTCAGGTATCCAATGACTCGTGGAATCACTCGAATATGGCCACGACCACTTCGAATTGGGCCGGGCTAGTCCATCGATGGGAGCTTTCGACGAGCAACACGGTCGATGCGCAACGGATGACTAGACCAGATTACCTTGTCTTTGGACGGACAAAGTTGCGCGAGATCGTGGCGCAATTTAGGAGAACGGTGAAGTTCCGGTTGATAGCCCTGTTTCGCGTCGGCCAGTTCTTAAACAAAGTTCGCCCCTCGCAGGTTGCGGACCCGCCATGTCATTTGCTCGAGCGTCCCGGCCTGAGCATGGCCGGCATTCTGCTCGATTGTTCCGAGATTGTCGTCCCTGAAATGATAGAGGTGCGACTGAGCCGACTGGCCGTTCTTTATTCCGGGGCTTTTAGGTGGGACGAACGGAACACCTTATCTTTTACATCCGTGAGAGGTGTGGGATGGGGTAATGATATCGGAACACGGAACTCTTAAGATCCTTTCAATTACCTTCCCGTGACGCCTTCATCCGACACGCCATTTTCTATGAAGTCACGTGACGGTTTGACAGCCATTTCACAAATTTCTTAAATATTCCACAAATTTTGGTTTATTTCTTGTGTTATCGTATTTTATTTATTTTTCCTGTTTAATTATCCGTGTCTTATTAGTTGCAAACGAGATACTGATCATTTTGTGTATTTTACATAGTAATTTTACGTAGCTTTTTCCGAGCAATTCGTTTTTACACATTACTTTTTTCCAAGCTTTCACGCTATTTTATTCACATGTTTCGTTTTGATTGTTTTACGTTTTATTCGGGTTGAACAGTTTCCTTTTTAATTAACACAGGTTTTATACTATAAAATATTGAATACCAATATTTTTATGACTTTTCATTTTGGTCAAACAGAGTCCTAGGTTTATTATTATAGTATTTATTTTTATCTCGCCATTCTTTATTTATACGTATCGCTTTATTAATATCGTATCAGTGTTACAAATTATATTATCCGTATATTTCATTAATTTCTAGTGCAGTTATCGATTCCCATAATTAGAACCAATAATATTATACCTTCTAATTCCAATCAATTAATCCACCAAATTCTAATTACAATAGTTAACTCCAATTCACCCAATATCATCTAAATAAATTATCTGAAAGATTACTACGGTACATCCATTCCAAATAATACGTGTAAAACATCCGACACCTTCTCAAAATGAAAGACAGCGAAATTCCTTCTTCTCAGGATCACATTCATCCATAAATGCATGCCCAAATCTCAAGTCTCTGGCTTTCACCTTGCAAGGAATAAAGGGATTAAAATACAAATTTCGGAATAAAATCACTCACCCGTTGTTCACCAACAAGCCGCGAAGCGTACACATTTCTATTCGCCCCGAGTTTCCCTGAAATCTCCGCCACGTACCAAACGTCATCTCGCGGACGTCCGGTCCAGACCAGTGACTCGAGGAACCCTGCATCCGTTTCTGACAACCACTTGCACTGGCCACGACAAATCCGATCACCCAGTTCCAGACTTCTCGATTCCTCCACCTAAGTAATCTAACCCCGTGTAATTCCCAGAAGTGGCGAAGAGAATATTCCTTATTGTCGCGACTTCGTGCAACCGGATGTTCCGGTCCCAGTGGGATATCGTAACCTGACTACTAGGACTCTTGCCCTCCATCTACAGATTCTTTACGATCTTCTCGTCGATATATCCATTCCTCGTTCCCCATCCGTTTCCCGATAAGGGTAATAATTTAATCCCGACCAGTTTCGACACCCTTCGTCCTATTTTAAGCTTGCTTTACGACGTCGTGAATCGATCCTGCTAGAACTGCCGCGATTAAACCGTAAGGATGGACTCCAGGCCATGGATGGACTCCAGGCCATGGATGGACTCCAGGCCATGGATGGACTCCAGGCGTGCCCGTGGTCAGAGCTGTTTGGTCGTTTCCAGTGCTGACGACGGGTCGCTGCAGCACACGAGGCTTATGACACTTTCAAACTTCCAGAGACCACCATCCGTTTCTTTCATGCAAATTTTATACGCCGAAGCATGGAGGGACGACTTGTGGGATTATCTCTTTGGCTGGCAGCATCGGCAACCCGGAAACTTTCGCGGTGATGGCTCGGTGTCGTGCGTGGAAATTCATTAGAAGGTCGCGGCAAGCAGCCGAGTCAAAGAGACGATGTATAGAGGTACACAGTCGGGATTGACGTCGCTGGAATCGGTATCAGTGCCGCTTTTAGATCTCTGACGAGGTTGTAACGCCAGGTGAACCGTTCTAATGAATCCGCAGCGACGCCGAGCGTCTCGGCCCGCGAAACTTCCGTATTTGGGGATGGTTGTTCCTTCGTGCAAACGTTTAATAACAGCCGGGTAACAGACGCTGCGATTTTTTCAAGCATTTGCCAATTTTGCCCGAGTAATATGCGTAATTAACGTTGCCGCGTTCTTGTTTTGGAAAATAAGCGAGAGGTTAGTGCAGCTGGCTAATTTGATTAATTTGGAGAATTGGTTATTACTCGAGGCT